CCCTGGCCCCCCCCCCAACCCCCTGTTCCCTTTGCAGAGCTGTCAGGTATCCGGCGCTTCAGCACACACACCCTCAACTACAGCACCCTGCTGCTGGAGGACGACCGGGGCATTCTCTACGTGGGCGCCAGGGGAGCCATCTTCGCCCTCAACTCCAGTGACGTGGCCGACGGCTCCCACCGCACGGTGAGCCCAGCTTCTGCCCACCCGTGGCTGGTTCTCCTCTCCTGACCCACACTGCCCCTTCCCTGCCCAAATCGTGGCCACCCCATCCCTGCTTATCCTCCTCAGGTCTTGCCTGGAGGTGCTGTCTCTAGGGCTGTCACCAAGTCTGTCCCCAGGTCCCCTGTGGATGCCTGGTCCTTCTCCCCAGCCTTCTCCCACAGTAGATGTCCCCAGGCTCAGAGCTGACTGCTTCAGGGACACCCTTGCAGGACGAGGGGCATGGGGGAAGCACACCCTTTTGCTTGCTTTGGGAAGGACACCCCAAAATCCTCCAGTGGGTGCTCTGGTGTTTCTGCTCACAGGCTGGGGCGTGGGACTGCTCTTGCCCTGGGCTGGGGGGACGCGGGCAGTGTGCCATCTCATGCTCTGAGCACCTGTCCCCTTGATAAATAGAAGAGAGAGTTTTAGCGTCTCTGACAGCTCTGGCAGAGGCTGGAGCCTGCAGTGATGGGAGGACCATGCAGTGATGGGGAGTCACACAGTGACAGTCCCGCTTTCACTTGCAGATCCACTGGGAAGCTTCCCCACAGAAGCAGATGGACTGCCTGCAGAAGGGCAAAAACAACAAGGTAGAGCTGGTGGGGGGTGCTGGGGGGTCCACTGCTGCTTTCCCGGGCTTGTAATGCCTGTCCCTGTCCTCCCCCTCTGCAGACTGAGTGCTTCAACCACGTGCGGTTTCTGCAGAGGCTGAACAGCACCCACCTTTACGCCTGCGGGACCTACGCCTTCCATCCGCTCTGCGCTGCCATTGTGAGTAGCACTCGGCCCTGTGGCTGTCGCCTGTCCCCTGCCACCATGTCACCCTGGGGTGACACAGCCCCTGTCCCCTCCCAGTGTGTCCGCCTGCAGTCCCGCTCCATTTCTGCCCCTGTCCCAGCCCATCCCCAGCTCGTGGGGCAGGCAAGTGACCGCCAGGCTGGGATGGGTCAGTTTGGGGATGCAGCCACCATGATTCAGAGACCTAAAGTTCCCACTCCGGAACTGGGGTTGGACTCTGACCACATAGCAAAGTGGCTGGGGATGGATCAGTGCTGTGGAGAGGATGTGTGGGCTCAGTGGGGCCAGCGAGGTGGATCAGTGCTGGCACTGGTTGCTGTTGCAGGGTCCCTTTCCAAAGGAGGGGCTGCAGACTGGCTGGTGGCCAGTGGCAAGTGTGCCTAGGGAGGGTGACGGTGATAGAGCTGACTCAGTGGCCGCTCCCCAAGGATTTCCTGGACCAGGATGGGGGGGTCCCTGTGTGCTCATGACTCACAGCAGAGCAGCCAGGGGCAGCCACGTCCACCAGCAGCAGGACTTTCACCCCCATGAGGTGTCCTCTCGGTGACTGGGCTGCTCTTTGCCCACTTCCCTCCCTGAGCTGGGGGCAAAGAAGGCTGGGGCCGTGTCCCCAGTGTGGCTAGGGAGCCCTGGAGGGGCCGTGCCCATTCCCATGGCCATGCCACTAGTCTGGTTTGGCCATCACATGCCCTGGTAGTCAGGTGGAGGAGCTGCCAAGCTGGAAGGGCCCCATCATTATTTGACATGCTTTGAACTGCAAACCCCAAAGAAAATAACTCCTGCCATGACGGGGACGTCACCTGGGGGAATCCAGCCCAGTTGGGCAGTGTCTGCAGGCCTGGCACAGCCCGGGAACATCGTTTGTACTGGCCAACTCCTGCCCAGTGCCCATGCAATGCCAAAGTGGGGTGCTGGGGCTCTCCTTCTTCCCTGAGCCCTCTTCCCACTCCTGGTTGGGGACTCTGGCTGTCTATGTGGTTTCTAACCAGCTGGAGGGTGCTGGGGGGGTTGTTTTGCCCAAACAAGGGCATGGTCACGGGCATCACTTTGTCACCATTAGAAGCCTCCGCAGAGAGTCTGGGGCTGGCAGGCAAGGTGGGTTTGCCCCTCCTGTCTAACCTGGTCCCTCTTGTCTGGCCTGGTCCCTCTCCCTCCCAAGGATGCCAGCAGGTTCACATTGCCATCCCACTTTGAGGAAGGCAAGGAGAAGTGCCCGTATGACCCTGCTCGTGGCTACACCGGCCTCATCGTGGGTAAGTGGCATCTTTACCAGAGCTGGCAGGGACGTGTGGAATGCCATCGACCCTGGCCCCATCCCTAGCACCCCAGGCGAGTGGGCTCTGTGTGTGGGGGCCTTAGCAAGCCAGGACTTGGTCCTCCTCCTCTGCCTGGGTTGTGGGGATGCTGGTGGCTTTTAGGGCTGTCCCCAGGGTGTGGGACCATGCTGACAGGTGCCTTCCCTGCCTGCTCTGCCCAGACGGTGGCTTGTACACAGCCACACGCTACGAGTTTCGGAGTCTCCCCGACATCCGGAGGAACCTGCACCAGCGGCCACTGAAGACGGAGGAGTCCCCACTGCACTGGCTGAATGGTGAGATGTTCCCTTCTACCCCCCGGGACCAGCATCACGGGCTGTGGGACACACTATATTTGCTTCAGGGAGTGTGGAGCAGGGGCAGGGGTGGCCCTGGCATCCTGTGTGGTTTGCCATGAGGGGAAATCAAAGCAGGGAGGGATCTCTCATCCTGTGGGGTGTCCCAGATCTTCACCTCTCACTCTGTATCCCCCAGATGCTGAGTTTGTGGCCTCCATGCTGGTCCAGGAGAGCAAGGACAACCCCGTGGGTGACGATGATAAAATCTACTACTTCTTCATGGAGCGGGCGGGTGAGGAGACCACATCCTTCTTCGACAAGAACCAGGCGGCCCGAGTGGCCGGGGTGGCCCGTGTCTGCAAGGTAGGCCCGCCCCCAGCCACAGGGAGCCAAATACTGTTCCTTCTGGCATAGAGGTTGTATGCCTGCACCTCGGGAGAAACTGAGGCACAGGCAGAGGGGGACACGGACCCTCACCAGCCTGTGCAGAAACACTTCCTGCACCCTCCCAGAGCGATGTAGGGGGAAAGAAGATCCTGCAGCGCAAATGGACGTCCTTCATGAAGGCACGCCTGGTCTGCTACATCCCCTACTACGAGGTGCTGCGCAGTGTCTGCAGCCTGGACGGGGGTGGCTGGGACAGCACTGTCTTCTATGCCGCATTCACCCTCTCAGCACAGTGGTGAGTGGGGCAGCAGCCAAAACGGCTGGGGCTAACAGTCAGTGGCATGGGGCGACCAGACACACTGGAAGGGATGTGCAGGGGGGCGCTGAGCACCTGGGGGTGCACTGGTGGCGAGCACCCGTGCATCTGCCTGGGCTCAGGCAGGGCTCTGCCCCTAGGAGGACCATGGAGGCCTCGGCTGTGTGCCGCTACAGCATCTCAGCAGTGCAGCGCGCCTTCGAGGGCCCCTACATGGAGTACCAGGACTCAGCTCGCAAGTGGTCCCGTTATGATGGTGCGGTGCCCGAGCCTCGGC